AAAAAAAATAATAATAAAGAAACAACTACGAAAAAAGTTGTGCAAGATTTATTTTTAAACTTACAATTGGACATAAATAACTTAAAAGTATTGAACTTTATACATTTATCATTTCGCTTCTTTAATAACTTTAAAATTGATATAAAAATTTACTCAATTACAAGTAATTAAAAAAAAATGATAAATTTATTTAATTATTTCTTTAATTACTTTTGGATTATTTACTTATTAAAAATAAAATTTCTGATCCAATTAAAAATAATAATTTTACTACATAACTGAATGTTAACTTATTAAGACAAAAACTGTTGTTTTTAGGCGATCTTCATATTCCAATGCGTCCAATTCCAGCCTTTGGTCTACGGCGGCGATTACGTCTATCCCCAATGGGCCAACATCATAGGCTTCTGCATAAGTTTATCCTCGATGGTCTGGGTTCCCATTTACGCAATTTACTATTGCATCGCCGGACCGGGATCGATATCTGAGGTAGGGGGAATCTTTAGTAACATTGTTTCGCTCATTCTTTCCTCCGTTGCAGAACTTCTTCAACGGTCTCAAGCCGCAGATAAAACAGCGTAGAATTTCGATCAGAGATAGGCAAACCGGTCTCCTGATATCAGAAAGCACAGCTTCGGGACTCGGAATGATGGAGAGCGACGGCATCTCAGAGTCCGCTTAAACGAAATTGCATAATGCGATGATTATCCAATGTAATCTACTTATAGTTATTTACAATATTTCATTTACTATATTCATACAATAGTCATATTTACGTAACGTATTTCTACCGGTGAGTGCGTTTACTGGACCCAGAATTTCGATCCAATCCATTTGTATTTCACCTCCGTTGTTTCCAATTTCGAAAGGCCAGTCATAACAACAAACAACAAATAACGTCGAGCTTCGATAAAGCGTTTTCGCCCTCTCCACTCCAAACCCCTAACTCGCGTTCGTTTTACCTCTCCTTTATCTCGTTTTTTTTTCTGTTGTTGTTGTTGATAAATAATGAATGCGGGATTTCCGATCCCCCAGATTAAAATATCCGTTCATGTGCACAACCTCTCATCCATATGCATTAGACAACGCTACAAATGATACCCAACCAACAGCAACAAAATATATATATGGAAAAAAAAGGAGAAAATCAAATGACCTCCGCTTCATATTTCCATATATATATTTTTATTTTTTTTGATCCTTTATTTATCCGAACAAAAGTTATTTTCGTATACACAGAATTTAATTTATGGTGGTGGGTTGCGTCCCTTCCCCCGTTCGCTTAAAATTTATATTTTTAATGTTCGCATTAATAGCGCATAAATATTTATTATCCATTCCAGTTTTAATCCTGAATTATTTACGTATGCACAGTGAATACACAGAAACACAATACTATATCCATACTACATAATATAGTATGTACAGTTGGCTGTGGAAATAAATACAATTTTTTTGTTTATTTAATTTCCATTTCTATCATCCAAAGTTTTCACTAAGATTCACAAGCTTTCGAATCAAATTTGTTGTAGTTTAATCACAAAAAAATATATGTAATTAATTGTATTTAATTTGTATCTGTATTATTATTATAATTATGATGAATAAAGCAAAAAAAGTTTGTTTTGAGTTTCAAAAATATTCTTGTAACTTTTCCAAAATCAAAATTCTTTGAATTCAATTAGAAATTAAAGTTTTTCTGCTGAAATTACGATAATTCAAATTTAGTACAAAATAAAGTTAGAATCTAGATACTAAACAAAAGCTGGGATTAGTAGAAAAACAATTTATATTTTTCAAATTTTCTTTAGCTCGTAGAAAATGAACGTTTGTTTGTTAATTATATAAATTTTCAATAAAATTAATACAAGTTGTAGTAAATTATTTATTGTTATATAATTATAAAAAGAAATGTTTCAAATTTGCAATCAAATAAATAAAAATTGGTGAAATATTAGTTAGAATCTATATGTTAATTAATGAAGCGATTGAGTATAAGAATACATTTTACATATACAGTTGGCTGTGGAAATAAATACAATTTTTTTTTATTTAATTTCCATTTCGATCATCCAAAGTTATCACTAAGATTCACAAGCTTTCGAATTAAATTTGTTGTAGTTTAATCACAAAAAAAATATATGTAGAGTAATATTTGTACTTTATTAAACTTAACACAATTAATTGTATTTAATTTTTATCTGTATTATTATTATTATAATGATGATGAATAAAGCAAAAAAAGTTTGTTTTGAGTTTCAAAAATATTCTTGTAACTTTTCCAAAATCAAAATTATTTGAATTCAATAAAAAATTAAAGTTTTTAGATAATTCAATTTGGTACAAAATAAAGTTAGAATCTAGATGTTAAACTAAAGCTGGGATTAATAGAAAATTAATTTGTATATTACAATTTATATTTTTTCAAATTTTCTTTAGCTCGTTGAAACTGAAAGTTTGTAGTAAATTATTTATTGTTATATAATTATAAGAGAAATGTAACAAATTTGCAATCAAATAAATAAAAATTGGTAAAATATTAAAGTTAGAATTATTACAAATTCAAACAATTATGGAAAAATGTATATGTAAATAATGCATTTCATTCCATGTTTAAATTGAAATAATTATATATTTAACAATATTTGTCAAGTAACTTATAGAAGTACTTGTAGAAGTAGTCCCAAAAAATAAATGTTTTTATTGATTTGATTGATTTATGCAATTACTTATGTAAACATATATAAATATTACTTGTAACTTGCCAAGTAATATTTGATTAATTAGGGCGACTTAACCATTCGGTTATTAGTCGCCCCTTTTAGTAAATATGAAATACATTTTGTTTCTTTTGCTCAAAATACTTGCAAATTGAGTATTCAAAGATATGATTCATATTTTTTTTTTTCATGAACTGAATATGATAATTTATACTAATTCTTCACTTGTAAAATTAACGAAGAATAGATTTTAAAGAACGTATTTATTACAAAAACGTAATTCTATAAATTATTGTGTTTTGTATATGTTGTAATGCACAAGAAACTAATTAGAAACTTGTGTAGAAATCCTTTGTGTTATTGCCTTTTATTATTAAATCAGCTCATTGTTCATATAATTGTTTGTCTTCTTTGCTACACGTAATTTGTTTATAAACCTGCCAAACTAAATTGATTTAACGTACGTAATAGTAACGAGAGTATTGCCTAAGTCATATATAATAATGAAAATTGGTTATGTTGGGGATAGCAAAGGGAACAGGATCGAAACGAAAATTGAATTTATCTTTTGGTCGAAGTGGGGTGGTGGAAGGACGAGGCGAATAATCAATTTTCGTCGCTTTTGTATGCAGATGAATTGGTGCCAGAGGGTGTTAATTAGGCTCATAACTGTCCGCATCGTGGATCTAATTAATCTGAAACCGAGTTTCAGCTGCCCTTCAGCCCTTTTCCAAAATTGCCCCCATACACCAACTAAATTATAACGCACAATAATTCACGTTGCGTCCGCTAATTCCGCCACTTTTCGAATGTACATTACTTTTTTTTTTCATTTTTTTTACAGCCCTCTCTTCTAAATAGTCCGAATCGTCGAGGGGGCGCAGAAGAAGAAAAAAATTCCAACACAGAATAATGCGATTTAACCCCCCCAAAAACTTCCGGACACACACATCCGCCGACTGTTTGATCTAATTTCACCCTCCCCTTTCATTGCCGACCATACTAAACAAAAAAAGGGGAATTTCACCCTACGCATGTGTCCGCATTTTTTATGTACTCTATTTTACGGTTGCAAAATCGAGTTAATAACAGGTCCCTGCGAAATAATATAACAAAAAGTATAGAATAAAAATAGTCGAGGCCATTTCGGAAACATGAACTTTCTTTGATAATATGCAATTGCATTACGTACAAAGTGAATTTTAAGACCTGCGAGACTTTCGTCTTCCTCTACGTTATTTTTTATTTTTTTTTCATTTCTGTTACATAATAATTTCCTCGTGCGTCTCTGTGCATGTGCATTTGACTTGAAGTGGAAACGACTTTTCTAATTGAGCGTGGAAAATGCAATTTTCCAGCGACCAAAGGAAATTCAGGAATGGAATTTTTGTACTCAATTCCATCATTCATTAACATATAGATTCTAACTTTAATATTTTACCAATTTTTATTTATTTGATTGCAAATTTGTAACATTTCTTTTTATAATTATATAACAATAAATAATTTACTACAACTTGTATTAATTTTATTGAAAATTTATATAATTAACAAACAAACTTTCATTTCCTACGAGCTAAAGAAAATCTGAAAAAAATATAAATTGTAATATATAAATCAATTTTCTACTAATTCCAGCTTTTGTTTAACATCTAAGATTCTAAATTTAATTTGTACCAAATTTGTATTATCGCAATTTCATCAGAAAAACTTTAATTTCTTATTGAATTCAAAGAATTTTGATTTTGGAAAAGTTACAAGAATATTTTTGAAACTCAAAACAAACTTTTTTGCTTTAGTCATTAAAGTTTTTATATTAAAGTTTACTATTTCCTTTTTCTTATAAACAAAATATTTTAAATATACAAGTAAAAACTTTGAAACTAGGCAACGTACAAGTACTTACATAAGTTACTTGGCGAATATCGCTTATCGATATTAAACAATTTATAATAATAAGTTAAGTGATTGTAATAAAAAAAAATACATTTGAAAAATTATTCTTTATTTTTGAATAGTAAAATATGAAAATGGATAATAATAGAATTAGGGTTTTGTGCGGGTGTTCACGTATGTGTTCAATTAAAATGCAGGTGTTCGTGCAGAAGTTTGCAATATTAATTGCAATAAAATTAATGAAATTAATGTCATTTCAATATATTCGAATCGAAATGCAATTCTCATCATGCACATATAAAAATCGTTCTAACGTTTGAGATTTGCAGGTGCAGTTGCAACTGATTCTTCGTGACGGTTCGCGACGTTTCGCATTTCCGAACGATTGTTTAAACAATGCAGGTGTTCAAAATGTACTCTTTTCATGCCCAAATATGGATTTGTTTACACGTACGCACCTGCAGCTGTGATGATTCATCGAGACGCAGGTGTGTGCGAATTTTTATCGTCAAATTTCTATGAAGCTATTTGCGGATTTAATAATCCGTAAATACAAGAAATTATTTATAATTACTAAACAATTAAAATTTTCACTATTTTCTTAGAGTTTATTATTTAATTTTGCTTATAAAGTATTATATTTTAACGTGTTCAACACGATGTACAAATGAAAGTGCTTTGTTTCAACGTACAAGTACTTACATAAGTTACTTGGCAAATATCGCTTATCGATATTAAACAATTTGTATTACTTCCTTATCGAGTGTGCAAAACAACGCACTATCATTTTCGTATCATTTAAATGTGGCGCAGCAATGTTTCGCAAATGTTTCATGACATTTCAAATTTATTAAATATTAAAATGAAATGTAAAAACACTACTTTTTCGAGCATTTTTTAAA